AGGGCCTATCTAGAGATTGGGATTCCCTGGCTCTTCAACACCAAATCCATCCATGGATCACTTCCCTAGGACAAATACAATTCTGCTGTACTTTAGGCCTCATTCACACGAGAAAAGGCCAGCACATACAACTCTGTGCTGCGTGCACGGCTGTATCGGGCAGCTCCCGTGAAGGACAGGTGCTGCGTGTGATTAGTACGCAGCCCCTGTCCTTCTCTATGGCTCACCTCATGTGCAGGTCCGTATGGGTGCGGGTGTCCCGGCTAGGACACAGACGGGATCCATCCCGTCAGCGTACAAGTACGCTCACCCGCAGGGACGTGCAGGGGCTGAGTGTAGGGCGGCGTACGGCCGTGTACTCCCATAGAGAAGGACGGGGGCCGCGTACTAATCACACGCAGCACCTGTCCTTCCCGGGAACTGCCCCACACGGAGCTGTACATGCCAGCTTTTTGAACAAGCATGCAACCAGTGAAGTCCTATCTCCTGCCGCACGTTCTAATGCCAAGGCAGAATAATAACTATGGACAACTAGACACGTTCAAATACAACTAGGCAATGGCAATTCCCATACTTCCATTATGACAGGTTCCCTTTAGGCCCCAATCACATGCATGTCACATGTCTGTCCATAGAGGCAGCAGTTCCTGAAATCAATGGCACCGCAAGCCAGCATGCATGAAAACACAAATAATGTATTCCTGTTTAAATTGAGAGCAGGCTTAAAGCACAACTCCAACCAAAACTTTCTTTGTTTAGGTCAGGACTATGAAGAGAAGTGTGGGAACCCCCCGCTGTTTTTTTACTGCTGTTCCTGTACTACTACGGAGATTTTTTCACACTTCCTGTGGCTGCCAAGTGAGCAAAAACCCATTATGCAGGGAAACAAATGGTTCTATTTATAATTCGCTGGGGCCCTTCGCCCCTCAAATATTAATTTCTGGTGAATAATGCCAAAAATGATGTCCGTCCATTTTTTTACTACGGGCGGACGGCAAGAGGTTAATATACCTTTCCCAATTCAAATGTAATGTTGTAATAATACATTCTGGCCACTAGATGGATTCTTCCCAGTTTGTTGTAATACATTACGGCCAGCAGGTGGCAGTGAGGAGCACATGCAATAAATACATATTTCCTATGATCCTCAGCGCCATCTAGTGGCCAGAATGTATTATTACAAATCTACATTTGAACTAGGGAAAAAAAAGATGAACATTTTAATTTTGGCATTACTCGGTTTATAAGCAGCCCCCAAACTAACACAACTTTTATTTTTTAAAGGGTAGAAGCCTTTGCCCAGTTTTTACTGCTATCTGGGTGCCCATTGACAAGATCTCAATTCCTTTTTGGTCACGACAACAAGAAGTGAGATGAAATTTCACAAGTTACACAGACAGCAATATAAACCTGACAAAGCCTATAATCCTGCCCCGTTCCGAGGCAAAAATACTTTTTGGCTGAAAATAGGCTTCCACAGCATAGAATTTTAGAACCATGGGGCCTCCTTAGAACACACGGTGGTTGTAAGATTTCACGTTGTGGATGTTCATTTCTGGACAGCCAGTTTACGTTTCCTTTCTGCACTTGTGGTAGGGCACAGCAACGCATGTCTCTGTGGTGCCAACCATACCCCAGTGCACTGTACAGCAGCCGCCAACACTTAACCCACCACAATGCACATGCCATGGTTTTGGTGGGCTGCGTTTTTTTAAAAAAAGGGTCATGTGCATTTTTTTGCCCGTTGCAATGTCGGCAGGCCATTAGTAATGAACAGGCCGCCTTAACGCAACACATATTAACACACTGCAAGGGAACAACGAAGTGCAACTCCACCCTTATGGAATAGGCGGTAAAAAACAAACGGTGGCCCGCGGTGTCTATAAGAACGCCAAGTACGGAATCACTTGCAGATTCTCTCTCATACATAACTAGGACAATATCAACAATGTAAACGTACACTGCCACTGTTACACAGCATCAAGGTGGGCAGGCTAAGATTCATGGGACTGCACAGGCCTTCCAACAGCAACCAATAAGATTCACAGGACTGAACGGGACTTCCTATAGCAACCAATATTGCCACTGTTACACAGCATCAAGGTGGGCAGGCTAAGATTCATGGGACTGCACAGGCCTTCCAACAGCAACCAATAAGATTCACAGGACTGAACGGGACTTCCTATAGCAACCAATAAGATTCACAGGACTGAACGGGACTTCCTATAGCAACCAATAAGATTCCAGCTTTGCTAGAGCAGGGAGCGACGTGAAGCTATTACGCAAACCAATCAGCCATCTTTAAATACCTTTGTTATCACCAGGTTTGTTTTCTCCATCAATGCAGAGTCATTTCTGAAGTCTCTTCCTCTGCAGAGGACACCTTTGCGCTCCGAAAGCACCGACTGCTTTGTACTCCAGGGCAACGGAAAAGTCACCGCTGACAGAGAATACATAAGTCTTGGCTGGGAAGCACAGAAGCAGGTAAAAGCAATGCGTCCGTAAAAGATGGAACGGAGATGGTAGAAGTCAATAGGTAATATAGCAGGGGTCGGCAGCTCCTGCCCTCCAGCTGTTGTGGAACTACAAGTCCCATGAGGCATTGCAAGACTGACAGCCAAAGGCATGATTCGCAGAGGCAGAATGGGAGTCGCAGTTAAAGCACTGCTGTAGGGCCACCTCTGCTTTAAAGCCTGAAGCACTTATCATAAGGCAATGCACACAATTAGATATACGGGGGTAAAGTCTGGGCCAATGACACAGCGCCACCTTGTGTCAGGTGTTAGGTACTGCAGGGAACTGAAGCATTGACATAAAGCTATGAAACATCTCCAACATTTACAGGACGAGTCCAGATGAATGTGACCCAACTACCACTAGCTACTGCACAGCAAGCATCGGGGGATTATATTCATGGAAATAAAGTGGACCTATCCACAAGCTAGTGCAGGGACAATATTGATATGAAGGTGGGGGGGCTCTGATATGAAGGGTGGCTCCTAATTTAAAAGGCGGCTTCAATGTAGGAACCCCACCTTTTTTTGGGTGGATTTGTGCATGGGCCCCCCTTTTAAAACCCATTACATTTTATAATGGGGTGTCTCAAGATTTTGCATACTTTAACGGTTGCCATGATTGAAAAAAGGTTGAGTAACGCTGCCCTAAGTAATGCCCACTGGTGATGCCGATCCTCCATCATTAAAACATCTGAAATGCAATGAATGAAAGGTGTGAGGCCAGAGACAGTCAGGGTGCAGAGGAAAGGGCTAGATAAGCTCACACGGGCAGGGCCCTCCTCACCGTCTGGTTGTGAATTGAATTATGATTGTAATGCCTTCCTTATATTGTAAAGCGCTGCGCAAACTGTTGGCGCTCTAGAAATCCTGTATAATAATGATACTGGATGTCCTCCAGCCAGGAAATGAGGTGAGCTCTATCTGCAGCTTCTAATGCACATTGTGAGAAGCTCGCAGTGTGCAGTGATATCAGAGGAAGCCATTCCAGTCCAGGAGAGGAGCCGGGACAACTGTGCAAGACTGACGGGAAGGCCGGAGCTCAGCTTTAAAATACTCACAGACTGGACCCTGAAACTTTTGGCCCCTCACTCCTGGCTGGATCGGGAAGTCAGTTTAGAGTACACAGAGCACTAGATACCATCTACTTCACAGCTCAGCAAAAGCCAAGCTCATTTAAACGAGAACTCCACGCTGATCTGACGTACATGCTAAACAGGCCAATTAGTAAGTCAATGATTACAAAACATCTATTTCCCTTTGCAGCATGTATGATTTCCTAAAAAGTGGTATGAATGTAAAACCCACAGAATTCCCCTGTGGATCTTGTTTCTTACTGGTGTGTCAGACGCAATGCTTTTCCTAGGGGTCTGCACAGAGCTCGAGCTGCAATATCAGTCACCCACTGCACTGTGCTTTTGTTTGTTGCAGGGAGCCTTCCATCTTTGCTGATATCTGAGAGTACTGCACATCTGGAAGAATGCTGAGGTGCAGGTTTCCCCCTTTTACAACATTTGGACTGACCAAAGCCGAAGACCCTCCCAATAAGCAAAGCATAAATGGGGCGCCGGCACTCCAAATGGTGAAGAGTGCGTCTTTTATTGACAAAGGTGCAGCATATCGCACAAATGCAATGTTTCAGGGTCACGCAGGAGCCACATGTCTTGACTGAAGGAGATCCTGCAAGGCAAGACATGTGGAACCTGCGTGACCCCGAAATGTGATCTGCTGCACTTTTGTCAATAAAGGACGCGCTATTCACCATTTGGCGTGCCGGTACCCCATTTATGCTTTGTGTATGTAACGGCGCCATCTGTTGGACGCCGCAGCGCCCAACGGTCAGGACATAGCAGTCAGGAGTGCGACGGGTTCATGGACTTTTCCCTCCAATAAGCAGTCAGCTTGAGGAACTCCAGAGGGACCAAGAGGGCAAAAGCTTTGCTTGTGCTTCAAGGACCATACCTTTCTATCCTCCAGGGAAGGTGATGGCTTCCCCTGTGCTGGAATACCATGCACATCTGCAGGTATAAATTCAGTGCAGCAAAGCTCAATGTGATCTCAGAACTAAACAACACAGAATGATGCAAGAAAAAAAAAAAAGTACTAAAGATGCCCAAGAAAAGCAAATCATGAAAAGACAGGAGTGTGCGTCCAGATCCAACCGCAGCAACGTTTCATCCATATCATTATAAAGTGGTTTCATAGTTTCAACGGAGTGCTCCATTAAAAAAAGGCCTCTTATGGTGAGGAACCATTTTAACTTGGATATAAATGTAATTCCCATCAGAAATACTACTTAAAGGTCATACCCCTGGTCTCTACCACCCCCTGCTATAGAGATCAGGGATTCTGTTTTCCCACACACACGCTAAAATAAAAACTTCAAAAACACAAGTTGTCACTTGACAATAAATAAGAACATCTTTAAAAAAAAAAAAAATGGCCGACTGACCAGGCAACACTTTCAAAGTCTGTCTTTTTTCTTTTTTTTGTTAAGCCACAGAACTGACGTGAGCAGCCGGACCCTGCGAACGCAGAAGTTCATTGGCTGATCGAGTCCCGAGGGTCTCGGCGCTTTTTGATGCTCTCGTGAATTGCGTATGATAAAGCAGTGACAGACAGCGGTCGGAGGCGATTCTGAGTCACTGCTCGCTCGCCAGTGGTTAATACCTTTGAAGATGCAGAGGATGCCAGAAGCTGATTGGCTGATTCCCGGAGAGATAAAGGTCCTTCTTTTTTTAAGCAGGCACAACACTGTACTGCAATCCACAGACTGCCATCTTGCTAAGGACTTTGGCAACGTATGAATCACCCCGCTCCTGTACACGGTGCATCTGTCCCTTAACGTCCGCGGCTCCTCCGAATGACCCTCCCTGGCGGTGATTGCAGAACCTGGTGAGGTTGGATGGGTAGTGGATGGAGGTGGGCGGGTTTAGATGCTCAGGACAAGTTGAAGGCGTGACGGGCAGCAGCGACACAGATGTGGGTCCGGTGCGGAAAATCCGGCCTGGTGCGGCCTTCAGACCCTCCAGAGGAGAAGGTGGTTGGTGCTGTCGTCCCTGCCCACCGTCTCGCTGCTGTTGGTGAGTCGGAAGTCCTCGTAGCCGTCGCCTCCACTGATGACCAGGAGCTTGGATTTAGGACGGTGTCTGGAGGAGTCCCTCTTCTCTGCATCGCACGCTTGCTCGTTACCTGCTGAGAAATGAGGAGATAAAACAATGACATATGTGCCAAAGGACTTGCAAATGAGTTCAGCCAGTCTTGTGATCTAAGGATTCATAGCCAGGTCCTGGACCACTCAGCAGACTAAACGGCCCTTAAGCAATACAGCCTGATCAGGGACACACTCTAGCATGTGATTGGACAATGAAGGAGAAGCAGGACACTGCTGAGGCAATGCCTGTGCCGTTCCAATGCTCAGCTTGCTTAACTAACAGCACTAGGACAAGCCAAAGTCCTGATTGGCTCATAGCACTGCCCCTCCTGAAGCCCTGCCATGTCCCTCCTGGAGCCCAGCCATGGCACTTAAGTAATACAGCCTGGTCCAGAAAACACCCTAGACTGTGATTGGACAATGAAGGAGCAGCAGGACACTGCCGAGGCCATGCCTGTGCCATTCCAATGCTCAGCTTGCTTAACTAACAGCACTAGGCAAAGCCAAAGCCCTGATTGGCTCATAGTACTGCCCCTCCTGGAGCCCTGCTATGGCCCTCCTGGAGCCCAGCCACGGCACTTAAACAATACAGCCTGGTCGTCCAGGGCCACCCTAGCCTGCGATTGGACAATGAAGGAGCAGCAGGACACTGCTGAGGCCATGCCTGTATTAATGCTCAGCTTGCTTGACTAACAGCACAAGGTAAAGCCAAAGTCCTGATTGACTCAGGGTACTGCACCTCCTGAAGCCCTGCCATGTCCCTCCTGGAGCCCAGCCATGGCACTTAAGTAATACAGCCTGGTCCAGAAAACACCCTAGACTGTGATTGGACAATGAAGGAGCAGCAGGACAGTGCCAAGGCCATGCCTGTGCCGTTCCAATGCTCAGCTTGCTTGACTAACAGCACTAGGCAAATCCACAGGGCCCTGATTGGCACAGAGTACTGCCCTTATGGAGCCTTACCATGGCTTATCTCATTATGTACAGTAGAGAAGCAGGTAAGGGTCTGAAATAAATGTTGCTAAAGTCTTGGCAATGTATATAAAAGACCTGGGTGAGGGTTAAAAATAAACATGGTCAGGGGAGGTTAAAAGTAACCTGTGCTGAGGGAAATATATGGGCTGTCTGCTGACCTCCTTCAGAAAATGCCGGTTGCCTGGATGAGAACCAGCATGCAGAAAATTAAACCAGATCTCCTGATCTGCAAACCGGTACCATGTCAATCCTCACTAAAACTAATAGAGACCAGGGATCAGGAGGACAGTCAGGCTACTAGCATTTTTAGAAAGTCAATAAATGGCCAAATAAATCATTATCTCTGCTGTGTCCCCTTTAAATGTGCAGATCACTATGCTTGTCCTCTAGGGGACATTAATCCTAAAAGACTCCAAAAGTCAGGGATCTGAACAGCATACTGAATGCCTTTGTTTCTTTCATTTAGGAGAGAGAAGTTACGGGGATACAACCAGTGTTAGGTTTTCATTGTTGCCAATGTTCCGGGGGGCAAGATCCACCCTCTGTGTCCTGGTGATCATTGCCCAAGGCACTGAAATTGAGGGAGTACCCAAAATCGGGAATAGCAATAGAGGGGGAATCTTCTAATGGGGGACGAATGATTCCGTGACAACTAAGAGGGTATCTCCTTCACTTTGTAAAGATTTTCTCTCACTTCCTGTTGATTAACCCCTACTGTGTTTTTGAAATCGGTGTCCCATTGGGGAAACTTCACCTTACTTCCTGTTGTTTCTACACAACAGGAAGTAAAGTGAAGTTTCCCCAATGGGACACAGATTTCAAAAGCACGGTAGGGGTTAAAACCCTTCCCTACTCTCAATGAAAAGAACTAAAATTGTACATAGATATACTTGGGCACATCCAGTTATAGGTCACTCGCTGAGACAGCAGCAGAGGGCAATGAGCAGCCAATGGAAGGGACTCACCCTGCTCTCCAGGTATGGGGAAGTAAACATCAAATCCATCGGGCAGTTCCACGGAGGTAAGGAACCGGACGTGTCCAGTGTGACCCTGCGACAGACCCACCGGACAAAGCGGACCCTTCAGGGAGGTTGAGCTGGAGGAGATGGAGAGGGTCAGAACCACTCCAGCGCTGGTCCCGATCCACAAGAGATCCCTGCAAGCGAGCAACGCCGTGATGCGTAAACATGCCGACTTGTGCTGGCGGATGATGGCGTCAGACCCTGAAGAGACATAACAACATGTATGAAAACCTGAAGTGACTACAGGCTTAAAGTGCATCTCTTCAAAACTTTTTTTGGGGGGGAGGGGGGGATATTGGGATAGAGTGAGGTTAGACCATCTGCCAATTTAGTATTGCTATCTATGTCCCCATTGGAGAGATTCACCCCTCTCGATTTGTAACAGTGACCAACTCTAAAAACTTTAGAGTTGTCCCCAGAACAAGAGGGGAAATTATCCAATGGGGACCTGTTCCGAGGACAACTCGTCTAAAAGTTCCCCTCGCTTTGGGAGATTTCCTCTTAATTCTTGTTGCATCTCTGGGACAGGAAGTAAAGGAAAAATAATTCCCAGTGGTACTGGACTTCCCACAAGGCCACCATGGCCCTGTCTCAGGGTGGCATATAGTAGAGGGGGAGGAGAGCCCCCCCCCCCTCCCCATGGTCCTCCTCCGACCTCACCTGGCTGCCTCTGGCCCCGCCGAGGTGTTCGGGGTCCCCCACTCTTCTGGGGGACCATGGCAATCAGTTGGATGGAGAGTGGGAAGCAGAGCGGAGAACACTACATTCTCAACTCTGCTCCGTGTAAACAGTGGACAGGGGAGAGCTGCACTCGCAGCCTTCCCCTCTCAGCTGTCACAGGAGTTCCAGCACAGTGCTGTTCTAGAATTCCTGTATTGGAGGTGACAGGTTCCATAAAGAGAACCTGTCACCTCCAAATGCTATCACACAGGGACTTGTTAGCTTCTGTGTGATAGCAATAAAGTTAAGCAAAAAAAATAAAAAATAAAAAAATAATAAGTAAAAAATAAAAGTAAATAAGTAAATAAAAAATATACAAAAACTAGGTAAAAAAGAAACAATTAAAATAAAAAAAATACTAAAAAAGTAAAAAAATAATGAAATAAAAAAAATTACAAAGTAAAAAAAAAAACAATAAAAAAATAAAACCCTGCCATTTCCCACCATCTGATTGCCATTCTCCACTTGGGGGGCATTAAGGAACCCGGCCTTCGGGCAGCAAAGAGATCCAAAAGTATGTTTGGTCTATACATACACTTTCATTCTCATATACACAACATGTATGAAAACCTGAAGTGACTTATTTCACAAAGGGTTACACATGGACAATAGGAACCCTGATTGTGGCGAGTCAGCTTTGTGATCTGAGCCTGTGCTCTGAAGGTCATGTCACAATAGTGATCCTGCCAGCGTCAAGATCACTATGCAGAGCAGAGTACTGTACCATGCGTTGCTTCCTCACTGTTCACACACACAAGCAGTCGCTCATCCAGACAGCAAGGGACAGGCACATTGATCTGGGTTGGTATTCACTCTGCATAGCGAGGTCGCTAGTGACCCTCAAGCTGTGGAGAAGTCTGATTCTTCCTTCTTTTCGTTCCAAGTCTTACTTTTAATTCTAAATGGTTCTAAGCTTCAAAGACCAAGTCACGGCCATTGACTTATATTTTACTTTCCAGCCACAACCATCCCAACAATCAGTCTTGCGTTCCTGGATTCCCATTCCTGCCTGGCGTTACCTGCCAACATCTTGTGTACAGGCGGCGCTATGTCCACCTCTCCCAATTGCTCGAACGTGGTGGCGTGATAAAGCCGGACCTGGGCGCTGCCCTGTAGGGCGATCCACATTCCGTGGCTGGAGTTGACCATACACGTCACGCAGCGGTTCTGGTCCTGTCCGATGTGGAACACGTGCTGTAAGGGAGAAGGCAACAAAATGTTATTTCCTGTTAAGGCAGACACATCGAACTAGTTTGTTTTCTTGCTTCTTCTGTGCATCCCTCAGTGATTTCAGGAATTTGAAGTGGAACTACAGGAACATTTTAAAAAATGTCATATTTGATGCAATCTGTCACTAGCAAAAACAGGGGGCGACCTTCCCTAGTGTAGATACATTTTTACTATGCAAATAGAAAAAACAGAATGATACTCACAAAGGAGTAGATAACAATGAGCCTTCAAAGTCAGAAGTTGAACCTCAGTCTTAACAGAAAGCAGGACACAGCATGCGAGAGCTGCACAGATGATGGTTCCTGTGTAACAGCACAATATGCATGGGTTGACGCATTTCGGGGGCCACGCCCCCTTCCTCAGAACCTCTGCGGAAGGGGGCGTGGCCCAAGAAATACATTTTTATTAAGCAAATGTATGTATCTACACTAGGTCACTCTTTATGCCCTGATGAAGAAACCCTGCGTGGTCTCCAAACGTTGGCTCTTGTGATTGTGTGACGTCTATGTCCAATAAATGGACATGTTGGATTATTCTACTGAGTGCTGGTGATTCCTTTTCCTCTACACTAGGGAAGGCGCCCCCTGTTTTTGTTTCATGAGATATCACAGCCTCCCTGACTTGTGGGGCAGCGACCTGTAGAACTTCTGCATGCACATTTCTTCAGTGGAGTGGTCAACTCTGGCGCTATTGGTTTTTATTTTCGTGTAGTCTGTCACTGGCAGTATAATTGTATTACCTGTTGAACCTGCCAGTAGATCCGGTATTATTCCACTTCCTGTAATGGGGCAAAGCTCCCTAGTAAAAAGGGGCAGTTACATTTACAGCAAGTCCCTCTCTCAGATGCTAAATAGAGCAGCTGTCAATCAACCAGCAAGCGGCATTCACTGCAGCCGATTAGATGACAGCACTGGGAGACCACAGCAATTATAAGCTAGTGGTCATCCTCATAGAGAGAGCGAGCAGAAACTGTCAGGAGCGACAGGTATTTATGAAGCATTTACTATCCCTCCACACCTGCTCCTCCTTACTTCTCCCCGCGTCCCTGTGCCGATCGTGAATGTGGGTGGGCGGTGAGCGTGAGGAGGTGTGGATGCGGGTGGGCGGGTCTGGCAGCAGCGAGCATGAGGTGTGGAGGAGGTGCGGCGGGCAGCATGTGTGGAGCCGTGAACAGGGCCAACTAATCGGAAGCCAATTAATCGATGATTGAAAATGTTGACAACTTTTTCAATAATCGATTATAATCAATTTAGTCGATTAGTTGTTGCAGCCCTAATTTACTCCCACCAGTATAAAAAGCTTTGCAAGTACGGAAAAATACCCGCTGATCTGCCAGAAATACACTCAGCATTTCATTTCTTGTTGAGGGCTGACAACACACAGCATTTTTGTGGACTGAATGGGGTCAGCCCTGCCAAGTTGTCTTTTGTTAAATCTCTCAGTTAAAAGCAAGACAGGCTTACCTCCTGAAGCAGGGACGACGTGTTGAAGATGGTGACCCTGTTCTGACATCCGCACCATAGCTTTCCAGAGAAGGACACCATTTTGGTGACGGGGTTTCCAGGAGAACCTAAAGAAATTGTTTTGGAGTTCTGAGGGTCCCAGAAACTTCCTGGAAAACAGAGACGATATTAGGAGGTCAGAGGAGACTTGGACATCATGGACAGGTGTACCCATTTCTTCACAACAGATGTACAGGGAGGCTGAGTGACTGTATAAAGCACAAGATGACCATCTGCGGAAGGAAATAACCTGACCGCCTAGATCCCCCATTTTGTTGCTCCCTCTGTATTCTCTGATGGGCCCTATTGTTTGTTAGGGGCCATTTGCAAAAGCAGATTACATGCAGATTGTATGTCCACCTCCAGCATCAGAGGAAACCACGGCATGGCGAGATGGAACCTACAAGCTGAGGGTGACACGTCCACTCTGGTACAAATTATATAAAGACTCTTAGTGTCACTAAGGGGCAGGGGGCGCTATCACTGACACTCACAGTATACACATGATGGCCGCTGTGTGCTGCATCTTCATGCTGTTCTTGCGGTTGCGGATGTTGTCAGAGGACTGATAGACGTGAATGCTGCAACACAAAGATAGCACATGTCACGCTTTCTGGGCAAGCAGTTAGAACACAGTTGTAATACATATATGTATACTTGTCATTCTATATAGCCAGTCTTGTGATGTACTCATATTTTGCACACTGCACAGCAAGACCATAGTTTCTGACTAGGGGCCCCGTTACACCCATGCACATGTTGATGGCGGGGTTTTTAGTGCGTCAATGCACACTGCGTTATGCTGCATGATAGGTTTTGTTTTCCCTTTTGGTATAAGCAGTGTTTTTCATCTAAGGGGTACATTTAAAACTGAGATTGGTTAACACCACTTACTCCATTAGTATACAGTAAGCACACAGTGGCCTATACAGGCAGTCCCCGATTTTACAAACATCCGACTTACATACGACCCCTACTTACAAACGGAGGCTATTACTGTACAGCAGGGAGTGCCAGGCTGCAACCAAAGTGTACGGCGCAGCATCTCAGTAGTTGTAATGCTACCACACTCCTGCCGAAGAGGAGTGCCCGCCAGGGGTATAACTGGAAATCACAGGGCCCCATAGCAAAATTTTGTATGGGGTCCTGTGGTTTCTAGTTATACCCCTTGCAGAGCCCACGAGATCCCACCTGAGGGTGATCCTGAAGAGCCCACCATAGAGAGTCTATGGTGGGCTCTGCAGGGTCACCCTTAGGTGGGCTGGTCGCACTCCTTACCTGTCCGCCTCCTCTTCCTCCATGCTCGCTGATGGGCCCCGCCTCCTCCGGGCCCGCCTCCTCAGTCACCAGGCTCTGCCTCCTCCCCTGCTATCGACCATGGGCCCCGCCTCCTCCTCCACCACCGCTGCTGCTGGCTCTCATTGACTCAGCAGCGGTTGTGGAGATGAACGCGCTGCTGCACAGATTACTGTCAGTGATCTGAACAGCGGCGCATTCTTCTTCAGAGCCACCAGTGAAAGCCGCCAGCAGAGGATGCCATAGCGACCCAGACGGTCCGCTCGGCATCTGGCCGGGCCCCATAGCGGCCGCCTGGGGCGCTATGGCGATTGCTATGCCACTGGTGTTCGCCTATTCTTCCGGGTCACTGTGAGGTTTTTACTGCCGTCTGTATCCTCATTAGAAAGATTTAATCTCATTTCTTGTCCTTGAGACAACAGGAAGTGAAAGGAAATCTACCCCTAGGAAGGGAAATTCACTCCTGTAAGAGATATCATGGTAAACAGGAGTCTCCATTGAAGCTTCATCACCAATCCTTGTTTCCACGACAAGCCGAAATTTTCAAAATCCAATTGTCACAGGGACAGAAAGTGAGGTGAAATCTTGTGAACAGGGGTACACACAGCAAAGCAAACTTTACAGGGGGTTAACCCTTCTCTATGCTATCCAAGACTAAAAACACATTTTTTGGCTGGAGTTACGCTTAAAACATTTACCTGTTCCAACTTACATACAATTTCAACTTAAGAACAAACCTACAGTCCCTATCTTGTATGTAAGCCGGGGACTGTCTGTACTTTACATCCCATTCATAAGATGGAGACAGTGGTGTGGAACACAGAGGACAAAGACAGGTTGATTTTCCCTCATACATATAATATACAGTGAATTGATTTGGTGTCTCTCACCAGCCGTCCTCTGTCCCTAGCCACATAGAGCTCTGATAGGCCTCGGGGTCAATGCTCATGAGGTCCTCCAGACTGCCCCGTGTGAAGGAGCTTCGGCTGGGTCTCCTTACTGCTGGGCCCCCGGTGGGGCTCTCGCTCTCCCGGTTCTGATTAAAGTTGGTGGGAATTGGAAGGAACCCGGACTCTTGCTCCTCCTCCGAGCTGGTGGTCTCAGCTGTGGTATCTTTTGCACTCGGCATCTCTTCATCTGTAGAACAGGAGCTCATGAGATGCAGACACAGCAAAATGATACAAAGCAATTATAAAGATATACATTTTAGCAACATTAACGTGACACTAAACTCCGGAGTTACATCTTAACAATACATTCATGTACCTCAACTATTAACAACAATGTATCTTATTTGTGTATCACTCGGCCGTAAATCCTCAAATCCTCTCTGAATTGGTGCTGACACTGTCCTCCCTTCTGGAGGGGGGCTACTTTTGTCCCCCATGGTCCCTGTGTTTTATAAAGTAGTCACCGCTCCAAGCTCGCTCCCGTGATGGACTACAATCTCATGTTTAGTTTACTAATTTGCATTGAAGTTATAGTCCATCACAGGAGTTATCTTGGAGCGGTGACTACTATACAACACACACAAGGACCATGGGGAACAAAAGTAGCCCCCCTCCAGAAAGAAGGACAGTGTCAGCACCAATTCAGAGATGATTGGAGGATCTACAGCTGAGTGATACAGTGATGCTCGCTCCTGTGATGGACTACAATCTCAATACAAATTAGTAAACTTATTGTGAGACTGTAGTCCATCACGGGAGCGAGCTTGGAGCGGCTACTTTACAACAATGGGGGTTCAGATATTCTCAAATCAAGTGAGAACTACCACTACAGACACAGGATAAGCTTTCCAAGTGCAGGACAGAGTTCATCTTGTGTATTCAAAGGCGGGTTGTAGCAAGTTGGGGAGATAGCCAGTGTTGTGCAATCGTTTTCCTGACCTGGTATAGAGTTTTGGTAACCACTATCTTTAGCTGAGGGTCACCACCGGGAAGCTCCAAAATTCCCAAGGCATATACTTTTGGCTCAGGAGAACAGTAGAGTTATAATGCACAGGTAATAATCAAAAGGATGTTCAGATCTCCCATATAGCCCTGCGGGGGGGAGAGCGGTGGGTGGGTGGGTGACGGGGGGGAGGCGTGTCTCTCATCGCTTAGCACCTCCACAGATCAGCTGTTGAACTTAAGCTTTTTTTTCTTGTTTTGGATGGCGTGAACTATGGAAAGAGGGGCACGTCAATACATTAAATGAAGAGTTGATGTCATTTCCTCTCAGTAAAATCAAATAAATCAATGTATCAAGCAGACTATTTGACTAAACTGGATGAGTTTGGCTTTAAAAGTGAAGTAACCCAAAACATTCCCCCTTTACCCACTACTGCTATTGTACATTGTTTTGTGGGGGGCAGCGGTCACAAGAGATATAAGGGAGGTGAGTTTTCAGAGTATTAGAGAGGAGAATTTAGCTTGGACAAAACGTCAAGCTCTACAGAATTTGAAGAAATGCCAAAATTGTATTAAAACCTTCGTATAAGGGTGGTGATATAGTCATCTTAGAGAAACATCATTATTTAAGAATGCGCCAGAAGATCCTTAAGAAATTAGAGTTGTTCTATAAGGCTTAAGGGAAGATCAGAAGACACTTTTCAACATTATCGATAAGCCCTTTATTAAAGGAGTGATTGATGATAAATTTTTTTTAAAAAAGTGAAAGTTTCTTATAGTACAGCATCCTTCCATACCGTTTTTTTGTTTTTTAGAAAGCTTACAGAAGTACACAAATCGGTTAGGGATCCCCCAATGGGATCAATAGTTTTGGGGAGAGGAACCGAAACAGTGAGTGACCATATGGACAGTATTCATCAACCATTTATGCTGACCTTACCTTCATAGGTCAGGGACACCACTCACCTCTTGACCCTATTTAATATTATAGTCCCCCCAGGTGCTTTGCTAGTTACAATGGACATACAGTAGATGCATCACATTCATCAATTCCTCATAACCTGGACTTGAGAGTTATAGAAAATGGTTTAATTAAAAAAAAAACCTGCTCTGACAAATGCACAAAACTTTTTATAAAAAGAAGAAATGTACATTTTATTAACGTATCATTGTTATGGGGCATGGTGCTGTTGAACGTTAATTCAAAGACTACGGGCAGGAAGGGGTTAAAAAAACCTTCAGGGGGCAACAACCAGACTAAAATAGTTGGACCGTGAAACAGTAAGGTAATACTCACTGCCGAAGCTGGAGGAGATGGTGGAGCGGCTGGCCTGGCTCTGGAGTGTTCCCGAGGGACTGGGAGAGGACTCGTCGTCGGTGTCGTCGCTATCAAATGGCACCAAATCCCGGCTGGCACTGTCTGTGTGTTCGGAGAGTTCCAGAGAAGAGCCGGAGATGGAGATATGGAGGCACTGCTGGGACGCCGGTTCATCCAGGGAGTTCTGCGGGTGTCGCTCTGACGTCTGGTTGGCCAGAGGTGCCGGCCGGTCTCTGCAGGAGAGAAGCCATTGTTAATCAGACACCCTCCACATCTAATGAGAACTTCTTTCATCTTTACAGCAATGCATTCAGGATAAGCATGAGCGTTTCATTGTATGACGTGAACAGAACTGCATTAAGCAAGCATTGAAAAGGCATTGCACAGCTTTCTTAGAAGCCTTTTTCAGTCCTACCACGAAGTACATGTATTAAAGTGAATCTGTCACTATATATAACGTACAGGCAGCTTGAAGTGCCACAACATATCTGCAGCAGCTCTCATTGCTTTTACCAAATGCCAGCTGTCCTGAACAGGCAAAGTTCTGACACTTCCGGGTTGTGTCAATGCTTGTCAGCTGCCTCCCTTCCACACACGTTCCTATTGGCCCATCACTATAATAGGCGGCCTCGTTAGCCAACAATGATGTCTGGGAGGTGGGAGAGAGTGGGCAAGCTTAGCCAACAAAAGCTGTTCACCTGGAGCCGCTACTTCAAAGACAATGAGTACATCACCATTGAGGTTCCAAGATGGAGGGAGCCTAAACCTGCTCAGAAGGCAAAATGTATCCAACCCCAAGAACATTAAATATATTGCAACTTACCTATCATAAGTTGTGGTGGATGAATTATTTCTCTTTTTTCACGTGGCGATCTTGCCAGTAACATGCTTCTTGTCCTAAGGTGACAACGCTCACTTATTGTACTGTATGTAGGAGCAGCATTGTCATCCTAGGACAGGAAGTGGGTTGGGTTAAACGTAGTTCTAAAGCTACACTCCTAATAGCCTATATATATATTCATTCTTACCCATATTTTTGGTAAAATATAAAAGATGGGGTCACGTCGGGTAAATAGACACAAACATGTAAAAAGTTTAAAATTGCGTGCACCCGCAAAAAATACCATACCCAAAATTGGCCATAGGCGACGCTTTAAACGTTTTAACTCCTCATCAGTTTACTATTAATAGTGATTAATGGTCCTAAAATGATTGCCCTCACTCTGACTTTCGCAGTAATATGCAACGTGTGGCTCAATGGGTGCAATGGCCATTTTCACACGTAAGCACAACCGGCGCATGTTTGTGTGCGTATGTGGGGGCAGGGGACTTTAAAAAACTGTTTTTGTGGGTTTTTTTATATTTGACTTTACATTCTTTTTTTTTTTGGTAACTTTAATTTAAAAAAAAAAAAAATCAAACATTTTTTTTCCACTTATCATTTGCTAAGAAGCCCCCTATGTGATGGCCAATTTACACAGACATGTCCCCTTTATGGAGACATCAGGTCTCTAGGACCCCTGTCACCTAGGGACCCCCAAAGAAACAGAAGCTGGAGAATAAAACCTGAATGCAGAAGTGATGTAATATACGAAATCTACGTTACTTTTTTCATTATATAGTAAAATAAC